ATAGAGGCAGACTAAATAAAACAGACAGTTATTTAATTTAATAAAAAGTTAGTATCTGAATCGCCCAGCAAGAGTGCTCATAGAAAGATTATTATTATCTTTTCATATTATTTTCAAAGAATTATTAACCAGTGTTTAAGTTAAAAGTAAAGATTTAATTTTTTTTAAGAAAACAGTAAAACTACTTTTTCCTTAGCGACTTTAACACAAACTATTATTTGTTTTGGGCGATTCAAAATAATTGCTAAATAATGTATAAATTCAAAAAAGTATGCTAAATCTGCAGAAAAATAGAAAGGTTTGTGAGTTAGAAGTTAAGTATAAAAATTTATATTGTATTTTATTAAAAAAATTTTCTTAAAAAATATCTTTTTTTATATCAGCGTTTTTTAGTGGATTATAAGCTTTATAATATGTCCAAAATATTGCACAAATCAAAATGTGTTATGTTTAAAGTGCTATGGTTACAAATTTAAGTGAAAGTTACAAAAATTAGATTTAACTGCTTGATTGTCTACTTTTCATTATTTTTCATTTCAGTCGATCAGTGTTGAAGCAAGCTATAAATAATTATTTCTAGCACTGATATATATATATATATATATATATATATATATATATATATATATATATATATATATATATATATATATATATATCCTTAATAGTCTTAAACAAGTCTGAACACTATTAAAAAAGCTTTCATTTATATTAAGGTGGAGCTTATAAAATAAAAAAAAATAAAATTTATATTTTTTAAAGTCTTACCCCCCAAATCTGTTCCATATAACATAGAAACACTGCATAAAAAGTTTGGCTAAGAAATAATTGTTTTTAGGGGTAGCTCAAGTGCCTCCAATATTACAAAAATTATACGAGAAACGAGTCTAATCTATATATTTTAAACAAAACAATTAACATTTTTAAACACATTAAATATGAGTTCTAAGCTCAGTTTTTACAGTTTAGGGTATCAGCCTGACAATGTCCAGAGCAAACTCAGGAATTATTGTTTTAAGTTCATGGTTTCGGCAGCCCAGACAGAGTTTGTTTTCTGCTATCCGGGTACATTCTGCGATGGTCTTCTACGACTTGCAGCAGGAATTGCAGCTGCGTTTCATCGCGTGTTAAAAATCCACTGTATTCTTGAATGAGGGCCACTCCACGTTCAGCGTGGTCATTTACAACTTTTAAAGACTCAACTGTTTCTGCAGCCAACTTGTAGTCATCTCTGTCTTCCCACGAGTCCGGATCAACTGTTAGAAATCCATATGGCATTTTCATCATTCGGAGCAGATTCATTGACTTTGCTGTGACAAAATCTTCTAAGTTCTTGTTCCCGAATGAATCAAGATCAACAGTGATACGCTTCGAATGATCCTGATCTTGGTCTTCTTCATTTTGCATTGCACTCACCATCAGTCTCTTGGTTGATGAACTGACCCGACTGTCGAAGAAAGCCAAGCTAACAAGTTCCTGTGACAAATACCACAAGTGATTGGAAAACTTGCGTGATGTTGACTTCCAGATCGCTGAATGGATTGATGAGTATTCAATCAGTGACTTCAGCAGCAGCAGATCATTATAAGGAGCACCTGATGCTTGAGGTGCAGATATCCAGGCTTTCAGGTAGACACGTACTGTGAATACACACACGTCACGTAATCCTCTCACTTCAGCAGGAGTCAATTTAAATTGAGCCTTAAACATCCAGATCTTGAGACTGTATATGACTTTGGACATCCAGCGGGCATGGTGCATTGCTCCAAGTGACATGAATCACACACCTCTGGCAGGAGCAGCACCAAGAAAAATAATCACAAGTTCCAAGAATTCTTTATAATCATCCCTCGACTGACTCTGTTCAAGATGCTTGTTGGCATAATCGATAGTGTCCTGCTTTATGTCAGCCACGAGACTTTCGACATCATCAGTTGCAATCCCTGGCTCATAATTAGCCGTGTCTATGAAACCCCAGTATTGCTGGAAACGTTTGAATAGTGGAACTTCTGGACAAGATGTTGCTCCCATACACACTTGGAACACTGCACCAATTATCAGTTCCATAATGTGATGCCTACAAGCCAGTGATAAGAGCTCTTTCTCAAGTTTCTGTTCTAAGAAGACACAGGCACCAGCAAGCCGACCAGTATTTGAGCTGGTTGTGTCAAAACACATTGCACAGATGCTGTCGGCTATGCCCCAGTTTTCAATGGCTCCAAAGACAGCAGCAGCCTGTGCCTCGCCTGTTCCAGAAGGAAGCTTGGCAACTGTGAGTAGCTGAGAGACTCCTTTTCCTGAAACCAATACGGGCAGGCCATCAACTTTCTCTTTTCCAAGTAGATCAGGAATCAGTTTGCCGTCCCAGTGAACAACAAGAGAAACATTATCCCGAAACTCGACTTTTATATTTGCAGATCTCTGGACTCTGTGTTCCAATCTGTGTCGGCAAATTGAAAAGAAAAGTGGTGCCTCCAACAGCTCCCTCATCTGCATTGTCACTAGTTTCAGTCTCTTTAACATCCTCTGCTGTACTATTTTCAGATTTAGAACTAGATGATTTCAGTTCAGCTTTAGAAACGGCTAGCTGGTTCATTTGCTCCATTCGCTGTTGCCTGGCAAACATTTGCTTCCTTCTTTTGGAAGCCCTTTTTTCCTTAGCAGCAAGTGTTTCATCTACTCCAGTCATTGACCCCCTTCTTCCCTTTTCTCGCTGGGCTACTAAGAAATCCTTGTCTTCTTGTAAAACTGATGTATTGGTCAGGGCATCAAAGTGAGCGACATCAAAGAGATCGTCAAGTCTTATAACAAAACCCGACTCTCTCCCAAGTTAAGTTGTTGTTTTTCGCGCTTTGTTCTTCTTAAGAAGACGCCATTCTTCAAATGTCTGTTCAAGCTTCGTTTGGCAGTTCTGATGATCTCTCATCCGGATACTAGCTTTTTGCCAAAACTTTGTTATTTCCGTGATGGTAACAGCCGATGATTGTCTTATAGTCTCCTTTAATTCGAGATGGTGATACAAGAAAAATCCAAGCGCTATACGTAATGAAGACAGCTTGCTGCCTGTTAATTCAGTAATAGTTTCGCCAAGTAGATACAACTCAGTTTGAGGTCTGGTTAATTTTGCCCGAGATGACATTTTTAATAATTCAGAATTGAATATTTATCTGAAATAAATATAAAAAATGCATTGGAAAAATTTGACCATTTGAAGTCAGAAATTTTAACATGTTATGTATGGTTTATTTAATTATTTTTAAAAATATATTGTATATTACATATAATTTATGTTCATTTATTTATCTCATCATCATCATCACATTCATCAGCATTATCAGTTTAACGTCCATATTATAATATAGAATTAATTAATTATTAATATATTTTTTTCATCTTTTTCATCATTTTCATCTTTTTCATCATTTTCATATTAATATATATTTATTCATCAGCATTATCAGTTTAACGTCCATATTATAATATAGAATTAATTAATTATTAATATATTTACTATTTACAATTTTACACTCACAAGACACAAAGAGTTAAGGTATTTTAATATATCAATCTTTTAATTTACTAATTGATGAGAATCAGGTACTGGAGAGAAGAAAGTTAACACCAAAATTATAGAAATCTTCTTTAAATTTGATAAACAATATTTCAACTTAAATTGCCATTTATATTTTAATAACTAAAACAATGCCTCTATTTAGTAAACAAAATAAGCATACAGCTTTAACAATGTTGCTTAGTCAGCAACTCAGCATTGCAGTAAACAAGTCTGTCTAGCTAGTGATCCTGTCTGTCTGGGATTATGTTTTGGCTTATGTAAAAATTACACAGTCAGCAAAAAATTGAATCTGGGTTATTTCTATTTGCCATGATTGCATTGGTTGGTCAATGATCAAATATGATAGTATAGACCATAATTGTGGAGTATATGATGATTTAGGACAGTGCAATTTAGCTTTGTAGTTAAAATTAAGTTCTTAATTTAACATGAGAATTATTCTGGTATAAGTAATAATATTATGTAAAAATCAAGTGTAGCCAAACTGCAGCTGTCGAGTATCCGAAACTTTATCATCATTAAGCTACCCCTAAATATTGTTTAATTGTTCTCATATTTTGCCTGAATTATTTTTTCATGTATAGGAACAAAATGAGAGGGTAAGAAGATCATATTTCAAAAGTTCAAAAATAAGCTCCACCCTTATTTATATATATATATATATATATATATATATATATATATATATATATATATATATATATATATATATATATATATATATATATATATATATATATATATATATATATATATATGTATATGTATTTATATTTACACACACACATTCATACATATAAACACATGCAATATTAGTGATAGATTTATAAAATAGCACTTAAAAAGGTTAAATATAACTTAAAAATAACTGAAATAAAAAATGAAACTTTATAAATATAAATGAAAGCTTTCGCAATAGTGTTCAGACTTGTTTAAGACTATTAAGGATCAATTGATATTATACAACAATTGATATTAGGTATTTACAAATTCTACCAGAGTTGTGACCTATTATTTTTTAATTCTTGGACACTGTTTCTCAGCTCTCTGAGGAACAGTTTTGCACTATGCTCTTCCACATAGTGTAAAACATTATCCAAGAGGTTCTTGATAGGTTTAGATCAGGTGTATTTGTAGGGCAGATGAGAACCTCTGTTGCACAAGAACTTATACTGAAACTAGCACTTATTTTGTTAATTGTTGCATGGCTCTCTGATGTTAAAGATTTTATCTTTAATATCAGAGAGTTATAAGTATGCAATAACTTATGTTAATATGTTATAGTGTACTTGTGCTTGATCAAACTTTATTGAATAACACAAAATGGATCAACTCCAATTATAAAATAATCTCCAAGTACCAAAAATTAAAACAGGTATTATTTTAAAGTAAAGTTTAACTTAATACATTTTCATTATCTTTATAGTCACCAAAATCAATCAACATCTTGGCAAGATCCTCGAAAAGCACAATCCATGACAGTGTTACCAGCAAACCCTCAAAACCTTTTAATGGATGATTTGCCAGAAGGTTGGGAACGTGCTGTTACAGCTGAAGGTGAGGTTTATTTTATTAATCATCAAACAAAAACTACAAGTTGGTTTGATCCACGTCTGAATCGGCCTAATAATAATTTGTTGTTGGGAGGCACAAACATACAATATTACCAGCAAGAGAAGCGTCATCGTCAACAGCAAATTCAAAACCAACTACTCGAAAGAGAGTTTCTTATTCATCAAAGAATGAATGGCCAGCACACTGACTCTGTACTAAACAACAATTCTTTGATAAATAACCTTGTTAGAGAGAAATATACTGCTCATATGAATTCTAGTGTTCTTGGTAGAGGAAGCTCTGTTGATTCTGGTTTAGATGGAATGGAGTCTTATTTAACATCTACTTCAACAGATGGGTTGAATGATATGGACACAGCTGATGTTGATCGTAATAATCAATTTGATAAAAATACCTCAATGGAACAAGGTATTTGTTTCAATAATCGACTTCCTGAATTTTTTGATAGTTTACAAGCATCAAATGTTGATTTAGATATTCTTGAAGATGGTTCTGAGTTAAGTAGTGATTTAGAGGCTATCAACACTGAGGCTCTGAACGATGTTGACATGATTTTATCTCCAAACAATAAGCCTAATGCATATATGACTTGGTTGTAGAAAGCAAAAGCACCTTTGGTGTTTGAATTATTTTTTTTTTAAGTCTTAAATTTATTGATAAATAATTTTGTTAGAAATTTTTGCATATAGTTTACAAGTTTTGTAATTTGCATTTCTACAACTTTATAAAAGTAGTGTTATTAAACAAATATTTAATGATAAAAAAAAAATAAGGAGAAATATGAGTCAAAATAATGTTCACCTAGTTAAATATAAAGTCACACGAAATATCTTTTAACTTTAGTTAAATTATCAATATGAAAGTTGTTTTGAAATTTTCGTTTTTCAGTTTTTGTTAGAAATTGTTATTATTTTATTTTTATATTTTTTATAGTTTAAAAATCTTTTTATTCATCATCATGTAAATATTTTTTCATGATTTATTTTTTTATTATTTAAGTAATTTTTATTAAAGCTATTTTTAATTTATATATATATATATATATATATATATATATATATATATATATATATATATATATATATATATATATATATACATATATATATTTATACATATATATATACATATATATATATATATATATATATATATATATATATATATATATATATATATATATATATATACATATATATATATATATATATATATATATATATATATATATATATATATATATATATATATATATATATATATATATATATATATATATAAATATCTTCTTATCATAAGATTTTTTATCAGTGGTTTTGTAAAATAATTTTTGATTTTTGTAATGATATTTTTTATGCATTTTATTAGTTTTTACTTCTCAGCGTTAAAGTTTTATTTTTTATTTTTCAAATTTTTAAACTTTTTTAACTTAAAGATGTAACAAGTTTTTTGTTACTTTTTCTTTTATATTAACAACATTTTGTATTTATTTTTTAACAATATTCGGCGATTCTTTATTATTTAAACGTTTTGTTGACAAAGATTGTAATTTTATGTAGACGATGAACCAGTGTGAGATGTTTGTTTCTTTTAGGAGAAAATTAAACAATGACTTTTATTTTTTATTTTTTGGGTGACATCATATACGCTACTTAATAGTAGTTTTAGAAGTCTCTCTTTTTTTTCGTTCGAGCGTATTTGGCAGACATTTAACACATTTTGTTTTAAAGTTGCCGTTATTAGATTTTTACTGTCGTTTTTCTGAAAAAAAAAATAATTTGACACCCGTTATTTTCACTTTGTTTTAATTTTTTGTACAAGGCATGTTAAACTTCATAATAAATATCAGTTTAAAAAATAATAATGACATCGCAGTTACTTATAGTATGCGCTTTTCCTTAACGTTTTTTGGTTTAAAGTTAAGCGATTATAAAAGTATAAACCTCAAACTAATTAAACTAATATATATGGAACAATCGTTCAGAAATTTCGCTTTGTAACTCAAAGAAAAGTTTTATGGTTGTTTTAATAAAAATTTTGACCTGTAATATTATCACTTACATTAGAGTTAAATTTATCCTAACTGCTTGAAGTAAAATTCCCGCCATATATATATATATATATATATATATATATATATATATATATATATATATATATACATATATATATATTTATATATATTATATATATATATAAAGCCTTATTCTCTGTTATGGGTTAGCTATGTTATCCTTAAGATGGTAAACCAATAATAAAACAAAATTTTTCAAAATTAAACTTTAGATATTAGATATATCTAAAGTGATTAAAATTTGCTTCTTTTTTTTTGGTTTGAGAAATTTGATCCCAGAAAACCTAAAATATCATTTTGTTGCGGTGATTATCTCCAAAAATATTTGTAATATTAACTTGGAAATTTCTGCATTTACATATAATATAATAAAGAAGATCCGGTACTTAAATGAAAAAGTATGAAACAGATTTTCTCATATAAAAAAAGAACTTAATGAGCAAAAAAATAAATGTTTTTGATTATATTTTGACTTCAAAATCTTTTTATTGATTAATATCATAAAATTGCAAGTGAAATCCGTTTCAACAAAAACGACTTAAAATTTTATGAAAATTGGTTAAAAAAATCTAAAGATGTTCACGCAAAGTCATGAATTTTTAAGGATCTGAGAAAAACATAAAATTCTTCAAATAAAAACAAAAAACTCTCTTAAAAATTAAAAAATATTATCTAAAAGTATTGTGGAGTAAAAGTAAAGCAAATTAGAAAAGTTTTTAAAGATTGGTCACATTAACAGATAATAATATTATCAAAGTTTTATCAAAATTTGAATTATTAAATTCCACTATAATAAAATTGTTATTTTTAAAACTGTTCTATATAATTGGTCCTCGATACGTTATACTCTACTCTTTAAGGGAGAGTATGGTATTGGGAAACACCTAAACGGGAATGCGAATTGAAGACACTAGTTATACAAAATTGATCATATTTATTGCTTATCAATTAGTTTAACTGTTCCGTTACAAACCCTCAAAAGTAATTTTTATAAATATAAAAATTTATGGCAAAAATAAAACCATTGGAGTTCGGAATTACCCTTTGTACGTGGGGTAGTTCCGAACACATCGGGGGGCAATCACAAACATTGTTGTGACGAAAAACGAATAAAATGCTAATTGTAATAACTATGTCTAAAAATTATATTATGCAACAACAATAAAAGAAAGGAGTAGCTTTATTTCCATAGAAGCTAGCAAAGAATGTTACTCAAGAAAAAAGTTGGATAAAATTATCAGAAAAGTTAAAAACAAATTATAGTAAACAACATCCGCAGCTTCATTACACTACAGCACGTCTGGAGCCGAGCATGGGATCCCTTCTCAGTAGGTAAAAGAAATTGTTAAATTTATTTTTCCACAATGCTGTTTTGACCATGTTCGGAGTTACCCCGCGTTTGCCATTACCTCACTCTCCCCTATACATTGTTAATTACCGCCGCAGTTTATAAGTGAGTAATTAATTAGATAGTTATCGCTCAGATTATTATTAAAATTGTTTTCAAAATTTGTAGGTGTAAGATGCTTAAAATGATAATACGTAATATCATGTGTATATTTATTTTGTGTAGATCAAATCAAATATATTTATTTTGTGTATATTCATCATTTTCATGCCCCTCCTTACTGTTTTGCATGATCGATAATGTTTTTTTCTATATAATTTTTTTCTATATAGTTTTTTTCTATATAATTCTGCTTGCATGTTTTTACATACTGGATATTTTTTTAAGTTTTGAGGGTTGTGAACTAGCCTAAGTGATATTGGCATTGTTAATGTAGCAATGAACTAAGCTAAAGTATATAAGTTTGAGACGTGAGTTGTTTATGTATGTTCAAATACGGTTCATCAAGCCAAATCCTTTTCTTATTTTTGATTCAATTTATTTAATGTAAGATAGCCAGGATAGGGTTTTGTCAATAATAACTGCCAAGAACGTTATAGAATCTCAATTTTTTAATTTTTTCATCATTTATTATCAAATTAAGTAATGAAAAAAAAAAAAAAAAAAAAAATTCTAACTGTGTTTTTTTTTTTGAAATAATGTATATTTATATACATTATTTCATTAAAAAATATTACTAATTATTCATTATTTATAATTACATAAATTATCATTTGCATGATACATTATCTACATTATTACATATTATGTACATTATTTACATTATTAACTAATATTATTAAGTTTTGTTTACATTAAATGAGAGTTTGTTTGCTTTAAACCAATTGTTTACTTTTTTTAAGTTCTTTTAAATGTCTGCATATAACTTTCTAATATCTCTATTGGACATTATAAATTTGTCAATATACATTATTTCATTATTTTATTATTTCATTTTTGACAATATTCCTAATGTAAACTTTTTTTTTCAAACTCATTGGTTATCCGATCAACTAGCTCTATAATATTATGCTCTGTTAAAATGTTTTTCTGAAAATCAAATTGTTTAGAATATGAAAAGTTTACTTTTTGTTAAATGACACACAAAAAAATAAAAAACATCTCCAATTTCTTTTAAAGTTAAATCACTGTCACATAGTTTCTCCAATAGTTTACTATTGGAGAATTCTAAATAAGTTTTAAATCAATTATTAGGCGGTACAACTTTATTTGCTAGGTTTAGCCCAACACTAGTAACATAAATCTTTCGAGATTTGATTTTGGCAGGATATGTCAGTATTATTAATAGTTATATGTAGCCTCATTAACGACCTCATTAACTTATGTATATTTATATGTAGCCTAGTTACATGTAGCTTCATTAACGACC